AACCATGCAAAACGCGTAGGCACCCTCAAGCTATTTGTAGTGTCATATTGACGTGCCAGTGAACCACACGTGCTCCATCAACAACTACAAATCCGAGTCTCCATAACATCATCCAACATAGTCTCCGGTTATTGTGTCGATGAACCACACACGCTCCATTAACAGACCATAAGGGGATGTTATGCGTTTTCATGGAATAGCAACAATTTCACAATTTTCTTAAGTATCTAAACGGGAATACTGTTAGGATACTTTTATATGTTATACTTTTAACGAGGGGTGTCGACAGGTTAAGTCCGAGAGGTAGCTCCACAAAAAGGCGACAAGGGTGGTAGAACACAAGGCCCTTTAAAAACCATCCCTCGTTAAGGAATCAGAGAGATCAACCTTAAACCTCTCTCAAGTGGGTGAGCCTCCCTTTAGATCTAACTCGACTTTAAGGTTTTGTCTCATACATATATTATATAATTAAGTTATACATATAGGTAGGTAACATTTAAAAAAAAATAACCTGTTATATAGAACAATCATATAACAAATCGTTTCAAGCATACACACATATAAACCATTTCAAGACCAGTTCTCTCCTAAGGGCTCATTTACGAAATATTGTAGCATGGCATGTGCAAATAATCAACTAGACTCTTGCTCTGATACCATTGAAGGGTTTTCTAGCCCTATATAAATATACAAACATACATGTGGCAGCGGAAATAAACATACGAAAATTCCTATGGCAAGCATTCACTCTAAACCCTATAAAGGATGCTAGCCTAATGATTATAAACAACACAACAATAAAAGAAAGGGAATAAGAATTACCTCTAACAGTCTAGCTGTCTTCTTTACTCGAGCCAGTTGAAGGACTTGAAGATCCTCGTACGCTAAGATGCAAGTGTCCAAAGTAGAACACCTCAAGTGGTTCACACCCAATAAACCCTCAAAGATTAAACTGGGAACTCTTGATTTAGCCTTCTAATAAGATAGCCAAATGCAAGAAAGGAAAGAAAGAGAACTTCTAGATCACAAGGAAGCCTAGAAGTGGGATGCCTAGAATGAAAGGGAAGGCCTTGATTTATAGTGACAAGGGAGTGCCATGGTTTGATGTTTGGGGCGATGTG